CCAACGAAGGCGCTTTTGACGAGTATTTGGGCCTAATTTGAAATTGAGGGCTTATGTTTTTATGGGAGCTCAAACCAGGGGGTGGCAAGGCTTGCTCTGAAGCAGACTCCTGTAGATCCAGCGGGGCGTAAGCTTTGGGCGAGGCGGTGACACCTTCGATAGGGGTGGCGAGAGGCATTTGCGAGGAACAAGCCAAATTAGCAGTGACTTGTTGAGAAGCTCTCCAACGTAAACATTCTGTTATCAGCGACGGAGATGAAGCATGGAACAATGGTACTACTTCCAGGCGAGTTTGCTTCTGCCATGTCAAATATGTTGAAGGACAGAATTAGAGCTGCGAAAACACCGACCTTACAAATATAATAAATATATACCCCCCCCCTATTTACGAATTGTAAGATAATATAGACAATTGTTTTATTATTATTGCTCGTTGATACAGTACAGTGTACAAATTGTTCACTAAAGTACGAGATGAGAAATCGATGAAAAATAGGGTGCGTCTATAGTTTTGAGCAGCACTGTACTGACAGTGAACCTAATGTAGAATTTTTACTTTTAGCCAAACATTCATTTCGAGGTACGGCACGAATGCAGCAATTCCAACAATAGTACTGTTAGTAATCATTTGGGCATCCTGGCATAGAAAACCCAAGTTATTTTTGACACATAGTCAAATCAAGTGTAAATTCAAAAGAACTCATTTCAGCTAGGGGTTAAGTGCATTTCAGTGGTTAGCGCTAGCTAACCACTGGTGATGCAGCTTAACCCCGGGAATTGCATTGTAGTAAGCGCAAGGGGTCCAGGTTCTTCAGGTTCCGGGGTTACTGTGGCTCTTGGTAAAAATGATTACGTAACAACAGTACTACTGTTGCAGCGAGGGAATTGTTCGGCACGAATGCATGCTGGCAAGTCCGTGTACTTCAACGAGACATTTTTGAGACTGGCCATGTCGTTGCATATCGTCTGAGCCGTAGGCAAACCCTCGCCTCCAGAGGGACAGGTTAGCGCGGCTCCAGATGTCGGCAATATGATGTGGCAAATCTTGCCAAGATTATTGCCACCTCATTGATAGCACCGCGCTGTAGTTTGCACGGTGCTTGGACAATGCGCAAGAGGAGGTGGTCCAAAACGGCACGGCGCTGGTCCGATGTGAGTTCTCACATGAAAACAAGCAATGCGCGCCTTGATTTGCCTCTCAAAATATGATCATCATTCTTTGTTTTACGGTTGATTTCAGATGTATCCGTATGCTTTAGTTTTGGCTTGATAGTGTGATTGTTCTGATTTCCTTCCCACATCGTAACGGGTCATAATGTTTATGGACTGATATTATCATTTGTGAATGGAAGTTTGAAATAGTATGGTGCATGTCAACTAACTGTAAAGACTACAAAAAAATGCCTTGTCTTTCCACAGCTATTCCAACTTTGTATTGATATTTTTTAGGAAAGTAAGCCGTAATAACGATAGAACTGGTCAAGACCAACAAAAGTTACGGTTCAAAATTTGATTGGTGAAAAATTGATCGGGTAATAGAATTTAAACCAACCAGCCTTTTT